AGTGTTGCTGAAATTATCCTCGCATAATTATTTAAGTTAAAAATGTTTTTAAGTACCCTCTCTGTCTCCCCTTTTCCTTCTTTTACTAGCTTACTTATTACACAACTCACACTAACCAATTAATTCAGCCTAGATTAAACATTTATGCATGACTTGGCAGATTCTACATAATTCCTGCAATTTAATGCCAGTACTTATTTACTTTAAAAGCTGCATAATATGAAATCAATTATTGTAAAACATTTCAGAGATTAATAGGACATAGTAATTGGAAAAAGGAAAAGTTTTCATTTGAAAAGGAATTATTGGTGCCGAAAAGGTAATAATTTCTTAAAGTTAAGACAAATATATAATTATTTTAGTATAGAACAGTATCCAAATCTTTGGAATACAATACATATTAAGTCTCTAGAGAGGCCTAGGAACTCTTCATAAGCTCCTCAGGGTAGGGTCCTAGTCTTACTTGTCTACAACTAGCCCAGTGCCGGCCGAGGCACATGCACTCAGTCACTGTTTGTTCGAATATGATCTACTTAGTTAACACTCACCATGACCCATTTTTCAAATTAAGAAATCATGTTTCAAACAGGTAAAAGGGCCCACAGTTCCTAAGGATTCTCCTTCATATTGTCTCTCCTACTTCGGATACCTTCCAGCACTTGTGCAAAGTGAAGGCGCAAAAATAAATGCTCGTCAACCACCTGGTTGCAGCACTACAACCACCTGGTGCTCCCACATGGTCTGTAGCTGTCCACTGGATGCAAAGGCTCTGGAGTTTCCCAGAAAATGTAGGTCAGGGTCAGCCACCACCTGTGTTCTGCCTGGGGCTGCCCAGCGTGAGCTACCAAGCAATCTGCAGATAGCTGTTACTTGTGCTGGGCTTGGAGGCTCCCAAGTGAAGTCAAACCGTGATCCAAATCTGGCTGATGCTACTGCCAGTCGTAGGGCCAGTAGGCAGAGGTATGGTGCTGGCGTCTCACTGAGGCCAGCTGTTGTTTGCTTGAGAGGATTTAGGAAGATGTGAAGCCTGAGCTGAGACCCGCCATTCATATGGAAAAGCCACTGTTAACAGCTTGGGCAAGCCTGTGAGTTGGGTGGGGTGAAGCCTCATGGATTCATCAGGGCAGAACCAACCATGTAAGCCAGGTTAACGGAATCTCAGATATGGCTTCCACCTTCTGGCTCTGTGGCTCAGAAAAGGAGCAGTGGCCTCTAACCGCTTTTGTGTCTTAGAGAAAGCGGTCCCCCAGCTCTCACCTTGATGCCAGACACTTTGTTCCTCCGTGCATGCCACTGCTGCTCTTCAAGCGGCCACCCCAGTGCTGGAACTCAGAGGAGATAAGTCTGAGTAAGTCCATGTGCAGCCCTTTTAAAAGGTACTGCTTGGGATTCTAGTGGTTACTTGCATCAACTCCAACCCCACTGGTATCACAGCCAGAAGTTATCTCTCTGGGGACTTATCTCTCTGGCACTGGAACCTTGGGCTGGGGGCCTGGTGTTGGGCTGGGACTCCTCACTCCTAAGATATCCCTCCACCTGAATTTTAATAGCTGAATTTTTATCCAGGGATATCCCTGAATTTTTATCTACCACCTGTGGGTGTGCAACCCGCCTGTTCCATGTATCCATGTCTTCTGCCTGGATAGACGTGTTTTCTTTAGTTCTGTAGTTGTCAGACATTCATTCAACTCGAGTTCTGATAGTTCTGGGTGATGGCTGTTCTATAGTTTAGCTGCAATTTTGATGCAATTGTACAAGGAAGTGAGCCATGTTTCCTTATGCCTCCATCTTGCCCGGAAGTCCAAATACAATAAAGTTTTAAGTAGGCAAATTCTAATACAATTGGGCTATTCTGGCTCATCGTCACTTTCAGGATGGTGTGCAGGTCCTGGTCTAACAGTGCAATACTTGACAGTGGTTCTCAGTTTGAAGTGATCTGTCCCTCAGAGGAGGACACTTGTAAATGTCGAGAGACACTTTTGGCTGTCACAGCTGGGGAGGAGCTACTGGCATTGTGGGTAAAGGCTGTGCGTGCTGCTAAACATCTTACCACTCACAGGACAAAAAATTATGCAGCTCACAGTGTCTATAGTGCCCAGATTGAGAAGTCCTGTACAGATAATTAAAAGAAGGTAGAATTATACCCACTATCCTCATGTGTAAATTAGCATCAAGAGAGACAATCTGAAAAACCTGTGCTGTCCCAGGTTTATGTCAAGTTCTGGACACTTTGTAAACTTCCCAAACACACCACTGTTATCTTGGACTGATTGAAGAGCAAATCAGGATTCCACAAGTGGTAATGGAAACAGGGTGCGTTTAAAGTTGACATGCACTTAATCCTCAGCAAAAGTGGTCTTGTCCCAAGTAGCAGTGGATCAGTGTGCAAGAACTAGCAGCACTTGGGATCCACGGTTGTCTTAGATCTTTTGACAACTTCAGCTGAGTTAAATAAAAATAGTATGTATTCAGGCAGTTTTAACTACTCTTTATCTCTCATCTTTAGGATCTAAAATTCGATAACACGTGTTGCACTGAAAGCAAAGGAGACAGACTATATGCAGCTTCCCATCCACGCTTTCCCTGCCCCCCACCCTCCCCGTCTTCTCACTGGGCAGACTGTTCATTTAATGATGGGAGGTAAACAAGCTAGAGAGCACACTATAAATGCAGAAGGGGCATTTGGGGTAGAATTAACTTCTTAGGAATAATAACAAAAAGTAAAGAGCACAAGCATTTTTAAGAAGTATAGAGAGGAATAGTGAAACCATTTGTCAAGTCACGTCAACACCAAAATATTATTCTCCTGTGACAAGGAGCTTTGGCGCATGAGCAGATGACAATAAGCTGCCACGTCTGGAAGGTCTATGACAGGACACTGTAACCCAGAAAGGGAGCCACTGCTAGGGTGGAGCTCAGCTGCTGAAACTTTAATGCGTGTAAAGACCCACTTAAGTAGAAAGGCAAGTGGAAACACATGGTTTCTTCTAGCGAGGGAATCCAGAGATCACCGTCAGAGTAAGAAAATCATTGCATGCTGCCCCTTGGTCCCTTAAGGACTTTGCTGAGCCTTAAGTCCTAAAGAATTGCATACATTAAAAATAAAAATAAAATGTTCTTATTTTCACTGTGCACCTGGAGTTGTGAGTGGGAATTAACTATAAGATTTCTCCATCTTTCTCAATCTTTAACTACAGTGTGGTTTTCTTTAGGGTAGGTTGAATGGAAATACATAAAGGAGCAATGAAAACAAAAATTTCCAAACATATACACAAAAAATCCATCATTAATACAGTGAGATATGATGCCTCCCAAACAATTTTGGTTATTTAATAGTTCAAGAAAGAAAACTAAGTATTGCCAGGTTATTTGAGAGCCAAAGACAGATAAGTCAAGGACACTAACCACAAAATACAATACAATGGAATTCAACAAGTGACCTACTTTAAAAAGCTCACGAAAAATCACTTGTGTGAAAGGTCAAAGAGAAGTACTATTTCAGCATTACAGACTTCTTCTGGGTTAAATAATGACAGTAAATTAACTACATGTGTGAGGTTGCTACAATTATTCTAGAAGATTCCCCTTCCTTACTTTAAATAGTACATTTTCCAAGGGAAAAAGTGCTATGTATGATGGGTAGTTTTTCCGATAGACCCCTGATGTTCGCATGGCTGAAAGTTTCAGTGCTCGGTTTCCCTGACTTTCAAAGTCAGGAATTGGCTTCAATCTCTAAGGTATTGTCTGGCTGTGACACTTGATTTTCAAACTCTGATTTTAATAGGACTAAACAAATTTGCATTGCTTCTGTGGAAACACTTTAAAATAATAACAAAAGACACATTTTCATTTTATCTCAACAGTATCCCTAGATTAAAGTTCCAATGAGATACAGTGGGGGTCGCGGTCATGGGTAGACGTGCATTTGACATAAACACAAAACAAATCATGTTTAATGCTCATGTTAACGTAGGTGAGGGTCTAGTAAAAAGATATTAGTGAATTCGTTAACTAAAATCCAATGAACTTTTTCTAAAATTTTAAGTCTCATTTATTTTTCAAATTAAACTATAATTCACTAAAATGAAATAATTCCTGGTGAGAATTCTCATTCTGGATACTAATCAGCCTGAAAGTGTACCCTTGCTTGGAATTTAATTTTGCTTTATTATTAGCAATTCATGCTTAAGGAAGTTCACTAAGTATGTGTTCTTGGCAGGTGTGTGCCAGAATTTCTGCCTGGATGCTGATGTTTAATGAATTGTCAGGAAAAAGAAGTATGCATCAGTTTAACAATTTTAAAAAACTAACTGCAAGGCCTTTTTAAAGGCATTTTTATTCTACCACATATACTAAAGGAAATATTTTTTCTAAAAATAATGTTTCCTATTTTTATTATAAAAGTGAATTCAGTGATGGACTGCTGAAGAATTTCTATGCACTGTGTGCTGTTCTGGACTGTGATATAACCAACAAAGTTTCTTCTTTGGTAATTTAAAATGCAAATCTCTGGAGGTACACACTCCCTGGAGCCCACCCACGTGATCTCACGTACATTGCTCAAGCTGCTGAGTTGCTGATACTCCCTCCACGAGGCCAAAGCAATCTTCAGTTCCCCAGAATAATAAGCACTTTAAAAACCACAGTCATGCCTCTCTACAGCATTACAGGGGTTTGGATCTGCTCCACGGAATTCCTTGCTTCTCAATGGAAGAGCACTTCCAATTACCGGCACCTGAGACTATCTAAATCGTTCAACTGCGTAGAAAATTGTGAAAGTGGTTCCGCACACAGTACCAACGGCGACCTCCAACTTGCTAAATTGAAACCACCCTTCAGCAGGTAGCTACTCAAATAGTATTCTTCCAGAAATTCTAAAATGTACATGAGAAATCTTCTATTTAAGGATATAATGAAGTATTTTAAGATTAAGTAAAAATAATTAAGATGCAATTAGACTCTGACGGACCAACAGATTTTACACGTTAGCCCACACTCACCTTTCCCGGGGGACAGCAAACCAGTACTCAGGCTGCTTTCTTCGCTTGCCGTACTGCTGGACCATGGCTGCAGAGTGAGTGGCGAAGGACTTTCTCATTGGTTTTCCCACTTTAATGCACAGAAACATGGGTGGAGTCTTGCTTTTCTCTTCTTTTGAAGGAAGTATATCTGAATCACATATGCAAAATACCTTCAACAGTGACTATATTGGTAACAGTAAAACCTTTCAACTTACTAAGAATAGTGTTTAATTCCCTCTTAGTGATGAGAAGTCAAAATATATAGCAGAAACATCATACACCATCATCCCATTGGGACTAATTAAACTTTTCAGACCTTCTAGAACACAAAAGGAGCAAGCTTGGGACATTTCAGATTGGTGTCTATCACATGAGAGGCTATGTATTATGAATTAGCATAAACACCTGAAAATACCAACAGTGGGAATTGTGACAGGCCACCAGAATACTCTTAATGAGTGATGTGGAGGACCCAATCACACCGTAATATAACAGTGTAGAACTGAAATACCTTCAAAAGATATTTGAAACTCCTTTAGATTTAGAAATTCAAGGTAAAAAAGGAGAGTTACTTAAAAGATTAAAATAAGCAAACTACTTCTGAAACAAATCTACATCATCCAAAGTTTCAAATTAGATACCATATATTGCTAGTATTTTCCAATTACTAAGGTATCAGTAAAGACATGCTCTATTGAGAAAATATTGTTCTCAAATGATCATACTAGTTGTGCTTCTGCATAGGCACATTTAAGAAAGGCAACCACATAACAGAAGATAAAGACATTGAAGCAAAGTGGCTTACCTTCAATGGGCACCTGAATTCTCTTCAACAGCCACAACTGGATTTCAGATTTATTATCCACTTGTGCGCCTTGACAGCTACCATCCAGAGTAGATTCCAAAGAGTTGCCTAGGGGCTCTTTACTCATATTTTCTTCTGTAGAAGAGCCTAGTTGGAGTGGATGGGGTGTTTTCTCTTTCACCCAGTTTTTATCAGGGTCTTTATGGCCCTCAGCTGGGGGCTCAACAGCCTGGGGAAGAGAACTACTAAGGGTGATATCTATTCCTGCTGGCTCAATACTTTTGCCATCACTTAATTCTGTCTCCGGCAAGTTATCCGGTAACTGTGACCTTTCTTTGTTCTTATTAAGATAGTATTCAATAAGTTTAACCTTATCTAGATCTTCATGTATGTTCAGTGTGTTTTCCATCTGGCTTTCTGGAGAACCAGACTGCTTGTCCACCTCGGGCATTTTATCTTGCTTCTCACAGGATTCTAAATCTAGAGCCCCCTTCAGTTCAGCATCACTCTCTGTTCTTGAAAAGTCCAGGGCTGACTGCACCTGCATTTCCATGGCAGAACTGATTATTTGTGACTTAGCCTTCCTTTGCTCCTCTGGCTCAAGAGAAAGGCACTCCTTTGAGGTGTCTCTTTTGTCCGTTTCGCTATCATTGTGAGAAGGTAGTTCTTCCAAGTCAATGAAGTCATCTTCTCTTCCTAAAAGGGAATTTTCTTTGGCTATAGATTTAAATGCAGTCTGAGTGTCAGGAGGTCCTTTGCTGACCTCAGTTACTGTGGCAGACCCATTGGCTGCCTCCACAGAGGACTCCCGGTCCTTTAAATTTCCTGACCCCAGGCTGCCCGAGGGCTTCGCGTGTGCGTGTTCTGTTGATCTCTCCAAAGGCCGTGTTGATTTGGAATCTGAAATGATGGCTGCCTCTTCACTCGGCTGCCTTTTATCCTTGCTGAGAGATTTGAACTTGCTAAATGGGTTGATATCCTTTTCTGAAGCCAGGTCTTCCCATTCTCCAGGCCTGTACAGAGGACAAAGATCCTGAGGTAGGTCACTGTTGAGGGAAAAATGGTGGGTGCACATGGAATGTTAAAAACAAAACCAAAAACAGAATGGAGGAAAAGCAAAAAACAAAACAAAACCCAGCCAAAAACCAAAACACAAATACACCACAACTTAAATTAATGGGTAAATGATTTCAGAATAAGAAAATAAAGTTTAAAAAAATTAACTTCAAAATGAAACATAAATCAACTAGGAGTGGCAAAACAAAGAACCGTGAAAGTGGCACATCCTGCTAGAAGACATGGACGGTGTTTGAAGCCATTTATGAACACAGAGCTGTCACCACCAGCGTTTAATGGTGAAATGATGCTTCTGATTTTCATGAAGGAAAAGACAAAGCAGAGGAAACGCTCCAGTACTATGACTAAAATTCCTCAGATATGCAAAGCCTCTCTTTCTTATAATATGGTACACAAACCAACTCCATTAACTCTGAATGACTTGTAGATTGAGTAACTACACATTTAAGTGACTGGCCCTGAACCCTAGTTTCAGGTTTCATGATACAGGATCTAAAGCTTCCAATGACAGATATCCTTCTATTCCCGAGACAGCAAGAAGAAGAGTCCATTATTATTGTGGGTCTATACTCCCTGTTCCATTTTATAACTTAAAAATTTATAGAGAAGTAAATCAAAGAAGTTCTTATAATACTTAAATTTCGTAACTGTTTCATTTCATAACAGCATCGTTTCACGTTATGGCAGTGGCCAACTGGTTTTATCAGCTGAAACTTCCTAACCTGGGCTGCAGTCACTTTTTTCTTTACTACCTGCATTCGAGTTATACAAAAATACTGATTAAACATGTTTCCGAAATTCAAGATAGTCAAAAAAATGTATGTTTTAAACCATAATTGGAAATATCCTGAGTAATCCATGTTTTCACTTTCCTTAGCATTTACACTGGGTTAAAAACAGAGATAGAAAAACCCTTTTTAGAAATAACATTTTCAGATTTCAGAAATACCTTTTTTTCTAAAAAGGCTTGATCATATCCTAGAGTCAAATGAATTAGTGTAATGTGGCATAATTTCCATGTTAGAACTCAAAATTTAATTTGGCATATTAAAAGCTATAAGAAGGCCTGCAACAAAGTTAAGCCAAAAGTTAAGCCTGAAACCTAGCCTTTCACATATTTGGTTAATAAGGAATAGTTTCTTCCGTGAACATCCAAACCCCTTTCTCATCGCTTCCTTATCTACTTAGCTCGACCCCCAGAAAGAATACATTTGCCACTCTAATCAGCCTCCTGTATTACCTTCTTGTCTACTCCTCCCTCCTTGTTTTTCTTTCCAGTCCAAGCTGAGATTAATTTAGTCATCTGCTCTTTCCGCACTGCCGCTGCCAAGCACTGCTGGAGCGAAGTGCATAGTTGTGCCAACCGAATCTGCTGCTAATGAATGTTTTCTGGACGCAGCCAGTGCAGCTAATGATGATCAATAATCCTTTCAGTTGTTCCCTTCCTACTTTCTGTGGCAGCTGTAGTTACAAAATGTCCTACCCAAAAATACAAAGCTTGAAGTTGAAGATGAAGAGATTTTATACATGCACACACAACTTGCACATGGCAGCTAGACAATTTATAGTTCTTGTTTTACCATGTAATTTTTAGTAATAATAAAATGTTAAGCTATTTTAAACAAGTGATGGAATTCTGAAGTCAGTAATACTAAGTGCAGTTCACCATGATCGCACTCATACAATCTGTTCTGTTCATTGGTGCATATGTTGTTCATTAGACTGAAAAGTCTTTATATACCTGCATCCAAGCCAGGAATCAGTGCATGAGTCTGAAATAATTTCATCTCATTAGCAGCCAGTTCTTAACTCTTCCATCTCTCCCAGGGATGCCATTAGCCCTATATCCCAGATCATTAAACACAATCTCACAGTGAGAAAAATCTTTCTGTGATGTATCTTCCCTTTTTATTATTAAAAAGGATACTCAACATCCTAAGATGAAGATGTGCAACAGTGTTATTCCATTAGAAGTCATCACGAGGCAAGAAATGCCCTTATTTGCCTGACCACACACTGCCACCCTCAACTATACCTTTACCTACTATCTTCTTTCCTCTTTTTACAGAGAACACAATGTTTCTTTCTTTCCAAAACTAATTCCTCACTGCGGCTTCTCTGCCTACATCTAAGACTCCAAGGCAGTAGGACACTCCTTCACATGGTGCTTGTGGAATGCTGTGGACACTTCCACACGTATAGTGCCTTCGAATGACTACTTCCGTCCACCTGTCTGTTGTACCCAGCACACTGCAGGCTCCTCGAGGGGAGGGCCCAGGACCCCTGCCTCTTCATGCACTAAGATGCATGAGGAGCCTCAATCCGCAAGGATTACAAGACTTGCATGCCCAGTGAACAGAGTTTCAGATGTGAATTAAAGGTTCACACAATAACAGCCTACCCTGATTAGATATCAGGCTGTTTTCTAAGAGTTTTGGTATATCAATGCACTTAGTTCTTACAATAGCACTATATAAGCTGAAATGGAATGAATAGTACTATTCATTCCATTTTACAGTGAGAAAACTCGGGTTTGAGATGAACTCATGCAGGTCATGAAGCTGTAAGTGGCAGAGCTGGGGAAACCCATGAAGTGTGGCTCTGGACCTGATCATTATGTAGGACTATCTCCTAAACCTCTCACTTCCAGCGGAATTTAGAAACTGCGTCAGTGCCCATGTTTAGTGGTAGCTTCAGCGGCTTGGAGTTGGGTTAAGGGCCAAGTAGATTAGATACTGAGGACTGTGAGAGTCCAGGGGAACCTCCTGGCATAAACTCCCAAGGCCTTCCTGTCTGGGTTAATTCCCTAGTGAACTTCCCTCCTCGTCATGGAGAGTACCGAGGACCAGGTTCCCTTTGCACTGTTAGGACCCAGAGCTTAGCCTCACTACCTTCCTATCACTAAGGCTTTCTAAAGATCTACTGCTACAGTACATATAGAAGCAGGCAAATTAACAAAATGACAGTAAGAACCAGATTATTCCTAGAAGGGATTCAATTCCCTGATCTTTCTTGACCCTCTTTCTCCTTCTTCAAGGGGAAATTCCTTAAAAAAAAAACTAACTTACTTAACTTACTAACTAACTCAGTTTTATAAGTCAAAGCTACTCAGGACTTACATAATATTCACCCACATTTCAGAGACAAAACAACCCAGAATAACGCCCTCCTCACATCACTTAAGGTAGTCCGGCCACAGGGCTGCCCAGCGCTGCACAGGACTGAGGGGAGACATGAGTTGGGAAGACTGACTATCCCAGAATTTGAATAAAGAACATAACTCAGCTTAACAATTCAACTGAGAGAAAAACACTAAAATTCTTTCAGAAAAAACTTTATTTCTTCTTCCAAAAATTCATTAAGAATATGCATTGCTTTTCAAAAAAAAAAAAAAAAAGCCAAACAAACACCATTTCTGTGTGCTTGCTTCTGTGCGTTTTTTCTTTTATTTTCATATGTTTAACCCTTCCCTACCACTGACTTTATCATTGCCATTTCCTCTCACTTTTCTACTTTCTTAAATTTAGTGCACAAATCTTCCATGTTCAAATCCACCTCCACACAATCTCTTGCTCCTGGCCAATGCTCTCACTTTTTAATTGCATTTAATTCTCCCAAGAATGGCTCCCTATTACCCCACTTTTTTTCTGATAAACAAGAAGCATCTCTTACGATGGCAAGGCATCTTTGATCTTCATGTGGGAAATGTCATTGTAGAGGGCAATGGAAACCACCTCTTCCATGGGGCAAATGAGGCCGTATTCCTCACACCCGTTCTCAATGACCAGGGGGTCAGACTTGTGAGGGTCGAACATGATGTTGTTAGGAGTGACAATCATGACACCGCCGACCACACCCTGTAGGACAAACGGACAGGACAGAATTACTACAGGCAGGAAGCAACCACCACAGGACCTTTCAGGAACTCGCGTGTCATTCTGCTGATTTTCATGAACCAAGTATCCTGCATGACAATCACGCCCCCTTTAAGAGGGCTGGAAAAAGAGGCTGCAGAAACACTGTGCAGAGTGTTACGTGGTGAGGCAGAGAAAACAGGCTGGACTCCCTGTGGCCATCAACCGAGCCTGGTTCTAGCATCGCTACTACAATAGTGTAACTGTGCTGGGATCTTGGGTTACACAGAGAAGTCTCAGATTCCCCAATTCCTGTCTGTAAAATGAGAGGGCTGTCCCAGATGCTTTCCTGATTGAGAACCAGGTGCTTTACAATTCACTCAGTACGTATCCACCGCATGTCCAACAAGGGATGGGACTGCGCTAAGAGAGCAGCTGTCTCCAAGCTGTGGTGCCAAAGAACAGTCCTTACATTTCTCTCTAAAATGTTCAGAGAGCCTACATCTGGGAAAATTCAACACAAATAGGAATATAAAGTTTTTGCAGAAGTGAATATAGCTGAACTATGGAAATTAAAAGCAAAACCCAGCAGTTTGGCAGGAACTTAAAAGTCTAAAGCATGGTCAGTTCATATTTCAGATCTTGGTGGCCCCAAGTATATTATCTACCAGACAGCACAAGATGCAAATGGCTCCATTTAGGTCAATGCTTCACTGTGCACTCTTAATGGCTTCAGGGATCACCTTTGTAGAAATGTTTGCATCTCAAGCGTTATTTGTTCTTGATTTAAAAAGCTATAAGTCAATATCAATACTGCATTTTCCTTTTATCTGGAAAATAAAGGACAGACTTGTCATCAAGCCTGCACTATCAGAACAGGAATTCACTCTATACCAACACAACCCCTTCTTCAGAGGCTTGCTAAAAGTCGGATTCCTTCTTTGTAAAAAAACACCAACAATCAAAAAACTAAACACACAACAGCACACATTTTAATACTGGCATCTCTGGCAACAAAAGGGTTGAGAACTCACCATTTTCCAGGTTATATACTAAGTTGTTTATATGAATTTTCCCTCTTAATTACAATACCCTACTAGTTAACTTTTATTCCTATTGCTACGTTACAGAGGAGGAAAACGGAAGCTTAGGGAATTTAAATACCCTGTCCATGGGCTCAGAGCCAATGCATGGCAGGGCTGGAATTTAAACTCAGCAAGTCTGACTCCAGCATTTGTGTTCAACATATACTACACTATCTCCCCAATAATTTATAGGCCAACACTAAAAATGATAAATCTAGGGTCAAAAAATAGCATACTTCCACTCAATGATCACATTCCTCTCAATAAGTAAAATGCCAGGCACTCGGCTGGGGAAAATTAACGGGCACTTGGTAAATCTTATGCTGAAACTTTGGGGAAGTGAATTTAATATAAACTGCTTTCGGTAATTTGAAACCTACTTTAGTCTCCCATAGATTCCATGAAAAGGAAACAAGTTACACTGCCATAGTACCTTTCCATCGGTGAAGTATCGACAGTTCATTTTTAAAAATTTTACCACTCCTGGCTCATCTTCTTCAGAAGTAGATGACAGGACTCTTTCAATGGGTTTTACGGCATTTCTTGCTAAGTCAGCGTCCTTTAAAAAGCAAAAATTTCCAAAATCAAATGGAAGCAATTTTTCAAAACAGATTATTTATATAAATCAAGACCCATGGTTCCCTGTAAATAGCCTGTTTCTATTTACCTTAAACATAAACAAGACAAGTGCCTTTTGTCATTCAAAAATATGACATATATAAAAATAAGTATCTAAATCAAAGTGAAATTTTATTTTAACCCCCCAAAATGGCTCATCCAATGTCTTTGGAAACTAATCTAAATAAATAAATTCACATTTGAGTCATGGTTCAACTTCTTTAGAAAAAGGAATAAAAAAGAAACTACCGGTCTCAGTGAGAGTTTAACTTCATACGTTTATATGAAAAAAAGCATGTTTTTTTTTTGGCTTTGAGATCTTAAAGGTGAACAGGTTTCTTTTGGATAAAATACATTCTCTCAACTAACGACAAATTACACTTAACCCCACTGCTTTGGGGAGAACTTAAGATGAAATCTTGTGAGAAAGAACATGTAGAATTCTATAACAATACGCTCTATAAGTTCGTATGTAAATACAAACTACAGTACAAAATGACATGCATACAGGGAGTTTATCATATTCTGCATCTGATGATGAAGGGGAGACAGTAGCACCAGGACTGGATGATGATAATCTTAAGGTACTTGAAGGAAAGTTGGCATCTGGCACAAAAAGTACCTGAAAATGGGAAAGAAAAACGAGGTGAGTACCAAGAATTGGGCAAACCCCAGTTAAGTTTAGAGCAGTTCCTCTCCACACGGTATCATTTAGGTGCACGACTCAGACCTAGCTGGACTCATAAGCAACTTGAACTCAAAAGCAACTGGAGGTCTTCTAGACTAACGCATGAAACAATATGCAGTAATCTGATCATGTGCAGTGCAAAGGATACCAAACACACCTGCAGACACTGCAGAAGCTCACAAAGATGAGTATTCTGCACAGGCCATGTGAAACGGGTGGAGCCAATGCAGCCTTGAGCAGTACACTATACAGCATTTGGATGGGGGAAGATCCTTGCAGGGAAGGGTACTGCTAGCAGGGGAAAGACGGGAGATAGAAGCATGGCATGCTTCTAAATATAACAACTGTGTCAGGGAGGAATGAAACAAATCCAGGTTTGCTAACTCTAAGCAGGCCCTGAGTGATAATGTAGTAAGCTCCTTACATGATAAACTATACAATGTAATATCAATAATCTAAATACTTGCTGTTCCATCACATCTGGGTGTCCTACATAAAACCACAAAAACAAAAAAACCCCTAAAAATCCCCAAAGACAACACAAAATAGCCTTGTTCTGCAAAATGTTCTAGTTCTCGAAATATTATTATGATCTTGCTATTTGTACTCTTTCAATAAGACATGTTACATTTTGGCATATATCAAATACAATCATACAATCTTAAAATGATGACCTCTAGTGTTATAAAATGATTCAGAGTTAATAATATAATATCTGTTCAATATTGTTATTCATTCTCTCCCATCCCTCTACTAATATCTGTTTTTATATTTTATTGATTATGCTTTTACACTTCTCCCAATTTTTTCCCTTTGTCTTCCTCCACCCTGTACCTCTCTTCCCTTCAGCAATCCACCCTTAGTTCATGTCCATGGATCATGCATGTAAATTCTTTGGCTTCTTCCTTTCCTATACTATTTTTAATATTGCCCTGTCCATTTTGTTCCTTCTTCTTTGTTCCTATGCTTCTTCTCTTTTTAAGATTTATTTATTTTAAGAGAGATGGGAAGGGAGGGAGAAAGAGAGGAAGAGATACATTCACGTGTGAGAGATAAATTGATTAGTTGCCTCTCTCACACCCCCAACTGGGGACCCAGCTTGCAACTCAGGCATGCGCCCTGCCTAGGAATCACACCCGCCACCCTTTGGCTTGCAGGCCAGCACTCCATCCAGTGAGCCACACCAGCCAGGGCTATGCTTCTTGGTCCCTGCACCATTTCCCCCTTTCTCACCCTTCCCCGTCCCAGCTGACAACCCTCCAAATGACCCCCATAAATATGATCTTTTCCCATTCTGGTTGTTTGCTTAGTATGTTTTTGTTTTTACTTTTTGTATTCAGTTGTTGGTAGTTGTTGAGTTGTCATTTTAATGTTCATAGTTTTGATCTTCTTTTTTAAAAATAAGTTCCTTATAACATTTCATGTAATAATAGCTTGGTGATGATGATCTCCTTTAGCCTTCCCTTGCCTGGGAAGCACTTTATCTGCCCTTCCATTCTGAATGATAGCTTTGCTGGATAGATCAATCTTGGCTGTGGGTCCTTGCTTTTCACCACTGTGAATACTTCTTGCCAGCCTCTTCTTGCCTGCAAGGTTTCTTTTGAGAAATAAGCTAATAATCTTAAGGAACTCCTTTGTAGCTAACACTCTGATTTTTTTCTTGTTGCTTGTAAGATTTTCTCTTTACCTTTAACTTTTGGCATTTTGATTATGATATGTCTTGGAGTGGTCCTCTTTGGGTCCAACTTCATTGGGACTCTCTATGCTTCCTAGACTTGCATGTCTATTTCCTTCACCAAATTAGGGAAGCTTTCTTTCATTATTTTTTCAAACAGATTTCTAATTTCTTCCTCTTTCTCTTCTCCTTCTGAGATGCAAATATTGGAATGCTTGAAGTTGTCCCAAAAGCTTCATATACTAACCTTGGGGTTTTTTTTTTAATTCTTTTTTCCTCTTGTTGTTCTGACTCATTGTTTTTTGCTTCCTTATGTTCCAAATCATTGATTTGAATCTCAGTTTCATCCACTCTACTGTTGTTTCCCTGTAAATTGTTCTTTATTTCAATCAGTGTATCCTTCATTTCTGATTCGATTTTTTTTATGCTGTTGAGGTCCTCACTAAGTTCCTTGAGCATCCTTATAACCAATGTTTTGAACTCTGCAACTGATAGATTGCTTATCTCCAGTTCTTTTTCTGGAGTTTTGATCTGTCCTTTCATTTGGGCCATGTTTCTTTGTCTCCTCATTTTGGCAGCCTCCCTGTGTTTGTATTGGGCAGAGTTGTTCTGACTACATGTCTTGATAGCATGCAGTAGGTGTTCTGTGGGTCCTGTAGCACAGCCTCTGCTTATCGCCCAAGCTGGGTATTCAAGATGTGACCTTTGTGTGGACTGAGTACACCCTCCTCTTGTAGCTGAGCCTTGATTGCTATTGACAGGTCAATGGGAGGGATTTACCCAGGCCAGTCAGTTGCAAGGACTGGCTGTGACCACTGACCACCAACCTCTGCCCTCCATGGAGGATAATCTATAAAGTGGCAGGGTGGTGGTGTCCTCACAGGGTCTCTAGCTGACCACTGGGTGCAGTAGTCCTGGAGATTCCCAGGTTGTAGAGGCCAAGGTCAGCCCCCACCTGTGTTTTGCCCAGGGCCACCCTTCTTGAGCTACAACACAATTTGAGAAAGTTGCTACTTATGCTGAGCTGGAGATTACAAGGGAAAACCAAGCTGTGAAACTAAACTGGCTGCTTCTAGTGCCCTGGCACAGAGCTCACTGAAGCCAGCTGTCACTTGTTTGACAAGTGACAAAGGGTCACTTGTCAAACCCAGGATGGGTGGTCCCATAAGTTTGATGGGGCAGAGTTTCTGGGGATCTCCAAGGCAGGTCAAACGGCATTAGCCAGGTTGATGGAGACTCAAATATGACACCGGCTCTGCAAGGACAGTGCTCAGTAAAGGAACAATGTCCTTCTGCCCACCCTAATGCCAGACACTTCAGCCTCTCCCAGTATGCCACTGGTGCCCTTCAAACTGCCACCTCAGTGCTGTAGCTCAGAAGAAGTGAGTCTGAGTGAGTCTGTGTATGGATTCTTTAAGAGGAACTGCTTGGAGCTCCACCAGTTTCTTCCATTGACTCAATCCCCGCTGGTTTTTGCAGCCAGAAGTTTTGGGGACTTATCTTCCTGGCACTGGAACCCTGGACTGGAGTCCTGTCATGGATTTGGGCCTGCTGACTTCTGAGATAGCCCTCTCAAATTTTTATCCATGTGAGTATGGGGCATGCTCATTTCACATTGTGCTCCTCCTACTAATCTCAATGGGTGTGGCTTCTTTAATTCCACAGTTGTCAGACTTTCATTCAACTCAATTTCCAATGGTTCTGCATGATGGTGGTTCAATATTTTAGTTGAAATTTTAATGTGGTTGTGCAAGAAGGCAAGCCATATTTACCTATGATGCCATCTTGACCAGAAAGCATATCTCTGTTTTAACTTCAGTTATTTAAAGGTCTTGTCATCCCAGAAAAAAATGAGGCAACAAGAAAAGACACATTAAGACAAATGTGGGGGACTTCCAGTCAAGATAGCAGCATAGGTAAACACAGCTCACCTCCTTGCATAACCACATCAAAATTACAACTAAAAAACTATAGAACAACCATCATTCAGAACCATCAGAAACAGAGTTGAAAGGGAGTCCAACTATGGAATTGAAGAAACTACATCCATCCAGACTGCTGGAAGGGGTGCAGATGTGGAATGGGCTGGTGGCTATATCCATGTGTGGTGGATAAAAATTCGGGAGGAATATCTAGGGAGTGAGGAGTCCCCACCCATACCAGACCACCCCAGCCCAGGAATATGAGTCCCTATAACTTTTGGCTGTAAAAAGTCAGCAGGGACTGAGTTGATGGAGAAAACTTCTGGAATCCCAAGTAGTTCCTCTTAAAGAATCCACATATGGACTTACTCAGACTTACTCCCATTGAATCCCAGTACTAGGGTAGCAGCTTGAAAGGCACTAGTGATATACATGGAGGAACTTAAGTGTCTGGCATCAGGGCAAGAGCTGGGGGACAGCTTTCTCCAAGACACAAAGGCGGGCAGAGGCTATTGTCCCCTTTCTAAACCCTCCCCGCACAGAGCAACAGAGCCTGCAGGCAGGTGCCATGTCTGAGACTCCATCAACCTGGTTAACACTATTTGCCCCATCCTAGAGATCCCCTGAAGCTCCATCCCACCCAACTTACAGGCCCATCCAAGCTGTTAACAATGGTTTTTCCATATGAATGGCTGGTTTTGGCACATGTTTCACAACTTACTAAATCCCTCAAACAAACAAAAGCTAGATTCAGTGAGCCACTGGCCCTCTTCCCTCTTGCTAAGTGGCCAGGCACTAGCAGCACCCAGCCTAGTTTCACAACTTGGTTTTGACTGGAAACCTCCAAATTCAGCATGGGTAGCAGCCATCTGCAGATTGCTTTATAGCTCTTGCAGGGTGGCCCTGGGCAGAACACAGGTAGGGACTGACCTGGACTTGTACCACCTGGGAAACCCCACAGCCTATACTCCCAGTGAACAGCTACAGATCACATGGGCACACCACCACCCTGCCCCTTCACAGCTGATCCTCCATGGAGGGTGGAAGTTGGTGGTCAGTGGTCACAGCCAGTCCTTGCAGCTGACTGGCATGGGCAAATCCCTCCCATTGACCTGTCAACAGCAATCAAGGCTCAGCTACAAGAGGAGGGTGTACTCAGTCCACATAACGGTGCACCTTGAGTACCTAACGGGTGATAGGGGAGGCTGTATAAAACCTTACAGGACATATTATTACCATTAGGCCACACCTACCAAGACAGGAAGTCATAGAAGCTCCACGAATACATAGAAACAAACGCAGGGAGGCTGCCAAAATGAGGAGACAAAGAAACATGGCCCAAATGAAAGGACAGATCAAAACTCCAGAAAAAGAACTGGAGATAAGCAATCTATCAGTTGCAGAGTTCAAAACATTGGTTATAAGGATGCTCAAGGAACTTAGTGAGGACCTCAACAGCATAAAAAAAATCGAATCAGAAATGAAGGATACACTGATTGAAATAAAGAACAATTTACAGGGAAACAACAGTAGAGTGGATGAAGCTGAGATTCAAATCAATGATTTGGAACATAAGGAAGCAAAAAACAATGAGTCAGAACAATAAGAGAAAAAAGAATTAAAAAAAACACACAAACCGAGGTTAGTATATGAAGCCTTTGGGACAACTTCAAGCATTCCAACATTTGCATCTCAGAAGGAGAATAGAAAGAGCAAGAAATTGGAAATCTGTTTGAAAAAATAATGAAAGAAAGCTTCCCTAATTTGGTGAAGGAAATAGACATGCAAGTCTAGGAAGTATAGAGAGTCCCAATGAAGTTGGACCCAAAGAGGACCCCTCCAAGACATATCATAATTAAAATGCCAAAGGTTAAAGGTAAAGAATGAATCTTAAAAGCAGCAAGAAAAATACAATTAGTTACCTGTAAGGGAGTTCCCATAAGACTGTCAGCTGAATCCTGAAAAGAAATTTTTCATGCTAGAAGAAATTGGCAAGAAATATTCAAAGTCATGAAAAGCAGGGACCTACATCCAATATTTCTCTACCCAGGAAAGCCATCATTTCGAATGGGAGGACAGATAAAATCATTATTATATGAACAGTTAAAGGGGCTTATGTAAGAAAAAGATGTAGATCAAAACTACAAACTATAAAATGTCAAAAAATGCATATCTATCAACAATTGAATATGTTTTAAAAAAACCTAAGCCAACAAGAAGCACAGACAGAATCATGGATACAGAGAGCATTCTGATGCTAAATGAGAGGTGTGTGTCAGGGAATGGTGAAGAGGCAAAGGGATTAAGAAGTACAAGTTGGTAATTATAGAACAGCCATGAAGATGTAAAGTATAATATAGGAAATGGAGTAGCCAAAGAACTCATACCCATGGATATGACCCGTGGACATGACCCATGGACATGAACAATGGTGGGGGTTTTCTGAGGGAGTGGGGTATACTAGGGTAGAGGGTGGAAAAGGGGGAATAATTGGGACAATTGCAGTAGCATAATTAATAAAAATTTTAAAAATTTTAAAAAGATAAATGTGGGAAAATCCACATCAAGGAGAAATACGGTAAGAACTGATTACTACTGAAAACCTGTAGTCCAAAATTACCAAACTCTCATTCACATGTAAGCCATAATATGGTCTCTGAAGCACTGGGTAGTCCAGAGTAACATTTTGGTTCAATGAGCTCCTAGGTACCCTGCTCTGAAAATCATCTCTAGCATGTGTAGGTCAGTCACCCAGCCACCTCAGTTCTCTTTTCTACCTCAAGGTGACCATCCACTCAGTCTCTAGAAGGGTGATTCTCAAATTTCCCGAAACTGGAGCAGATAAAACCAACTTTGGTTAATCAGATTACTGAGATGAGAGGGATGCCTACCACTCCATCTTTGGATGCAATCATCTATGGTTTTTGAAAGCCCCTCAATCAGTTTCATTCTTCTCAGTTCCTTATATCTGCTGGCAAAACCAAGAGCACACCCAGGTCCTGGGACAGCTAACAGTAAGTAGCTGTTTATTTGTGTGAGTGCTGGACAGCACAGCAAGGCTGGAGGACATTTAAGATAATGCAGCCCAACCGCTAACTTTGGGAACTGGGAAACTAAGGTCCAAAAAGAAAGTGACTTGCTCAAGTCAAATAGCTATTCCAGGGCTAAAAAAACACAGAAAAAAAACCACATTGGAGCACCTATTTCTAATATTTTACCCTTGACGTTGGCATATTTAAACAGTCCCTATACCTCTTGTTGCCTACTGGACCTTAATCAAGTACCAATAAGCTATTCTGTTTATGAATGCAGGAAAAGAATGATGAATTACACTGAATTTTTTTACTATGTCCAGTGACTATAGTACTCACTTGAATTAGTAAATATGTGTGCCTAGGGTCTCCGCTACAGGTCAATTCCATAAGGTGAAGCTTTCCTGGACCCAATTCCAACATGTAGGGCAGGGCTCCCCCGCCATACCATGAATTTTCAGACACCAGCAGAGTGTCCAAGAATTCAACTCAATTCTGACACTATGTCCTAGACACAGCATCAGATTCCACAGGCTAAGGGTTCAGTCCTACAATACTGCACCCTCACCCCCCACATGCACATTTCAGATAACTGCAAGCCATGGCTCTTACCTGTGCTTCTGACCAACTGGCTATAGACTGGAGGTTCCAACAACCTGACCCCCCAACTCAGAATGCCAACTGTAAGTCCAGGTTGTCTCCTATACTTCTGAGCAACTGGCTGTGTATCACAGGTTGCCATAACCCCACCTTGGGTTTGATTAATTTGCCAGAACAGCTCACAGAACTCAGAGAATCACGTTAGTTACTAGGTCAATAGTTTATTGTAAAAGGACACAACTTGGGAACAGCCACAGGAAAGAGATGCACAGGGCAAGGCGTGCAGAAAGGGCAGGGAGCTTCACGCCCTCTCCAGGCTCGCCACTCTTGCGGAATCTCCATGTGTTCACCAGCCTGGAAGCTCTCCTAACCCTGCCGTCCAGGGTTTTTATGGAGGCTTTATTACATAGTCATTCACAATTAACTAGATCACTGGCCACTGGTGATTGATTCACTCTCCAGTACCTCTCCCTTCCCTGTAGATGTGGGTGAGGGTGTGTGTGTGTGGGGTGGGGGGGAGGTTGTGGGGGAAGGGACAACCAAATGAAAGTTCTAACACTCTAGTAACAAGGTTGTCTCCTGGCAACCAGCTGCCATCCCTAGGTGCTTTGCAAAAGACACCTCATTTGCAAAGCAAAACACACCTTTATCAGTATCAATACTTGGAAAGTTCCAAGGATTTCAGGATCTGTGAGTCAGGAATTGTGGAAGACCAGATACAGGGTTGGGCAAAAGTAGGTTAATAATACTAATAAATAACAATACAATAATTAATGAATAAATAGTAATACAAGAGTAAACTCTGTTTTGCATACTCACAACTGTAAATCTACTTTTGCCCAGCTCTGTCTATATGAGAAATATATTTTGGTCATTCTTATAAATCACATTAATGTACACATTATGCAGTAATTTTCCTGGAGATGAAAACTTATTAACTTTTTTTTTTTAAGATTTTATTTATTTATCTTTAAAGGGGAAGGGGGGAAGGAGAGAGGGAGAGAAACATCAATGTATGGTTGCTTTCATGCGTCCCCTGCTGGGAACTGCCCTGCAGGGAACCGGCCTGCAACCCAGGCATGTTCCCTGACTGGGACTCCAACTGTGATTGTGTGGTTCGCAGGCCCGCGCTCAATCCACTGAGCTACACCGGCCAGGGCGAAAACTTATAACTTTTTTCCAAAGTCTTAATGCACATTTCTCCTTAACCCCCTGGTGCTGGCAGTATCCTAATTTCTCCTTTTGATAAAGACACAAATACCGAAAGCATAATAGTACAAACTGGCCAACCATGGCCTGTTGGCTCCATGAGCTTCCCATGGAAAAAAAGGAAAGAACAATATCGCCATTGCCAGAATGAAGTTATACTTAAAAGTAGCAGCATCTATCCTGAGACACAGGGATGCAAGAAGATGCTCTAGTAAGTCAGCAAGGAAACTAGACGTGCTCATAGCAACCATGCAGCTCCGTGGATGGGAATGAAAGTTTGGCCTCAGCTCAGATCCGCCAATGACAGAGTTATTCACATTTAATGTCTGAATGTAGTTTTCAAAAAGAAAGACAAGAATGTCTTATCATGTAGCAAATAATAAAAATTTTTGCTGGATTAATCAAGAGTGGCATAATTGTACAATTTGCAATTCATTCAGTTTAACAAGATACTTAAATCCTCAGGAAAATCTCTGTGGCCTTTCCTTGATGATCCTGCTGAATGTCTCTGCCTTTGGCTGAATTGAGTAATTTTGTCAAAATGGCATCAAATCAAGACAAAAATGACAAAAAATTTCTGCCTAATTTAAAGTTAAAAAATGGCCATAATGTACCCCAGGAGTGGACTAAACTAAAGCTTGCAATGCTAAATTAAACTTTCTAAGAATATCTGTGTGAAATTCTACAGGGAAAATTGTCATATTAATTTTACTCTTCTTGATGCCCTAGAAAATACCTCAATATAAACTAATAATAGTTCAGTAATCTCTGTTAATCATTTGCAAAGCATTCATCTCTGAACAGTTCATAAGTACCAGATACTTTCAGAATTCTTGGACCCAAAGGAGAGGAAAGGCTGAACCAATGCACATTTCATTGATGACAATTTTGTGACACTAATAATGAGGCATTAAAAGTGACAATAAAAGATAAATGTAAAATTTCTAAAGTAATATGCAACAAGAAAATCATTACCTGGCCTGGAACAATAGTATGTGTGAAAAGTTTATTTAGTTCCACTAATTTATTCGGAGTGATGTTAAACTTCAGTGCTATGGAGTTTAGAGTGTCCTGGCTTCCGGCCTAGAAATAATCCAACAAACAAGACTCAATATATAAAGCAAAACACAACCAAAAGAATTCCTTTTGATAGACAGCATTAATCTATTTGTGATAACGATGAATAAAAAAGCAATACATCTAGATGTATTATGGAAAAGATTGAATACGTTCTCAACTCTTAAGGGAAAACATTTTAAAGGTTATTCATTTTCTGGGTGCCTTTATCTTTAATTTCACTGTCCACTGATAGATTTCTAAACTCACTTTGGCACAACTTTGGTGTATGGAGTAGAGGTCCATGACGCATAATACAAAACTGTAAGAAGAAAAGAAATAAAACGTACACACAGTCCTACGCGTGGGGGAGATGAGACTACTGTCCTCTCTCTGCACTTTTCTGTCCACGTGCCTGTCCCTTCAGTGCATGACAGACCACTGGACAGTGACTTGCTAATGGCCATTTTTCTCCCACAGTGCCTGATACTTTGAAGGCATTCAAAGGTTTGATGAATGAATACAGTCAAAAGCTGAAAGAAATCTAGGTTAGCTACCAATAATTGTTCACTGTCATTAAAATTGACAAATTCTTTCTGAGGAGGGGGAGGGGGCACTGGATGAAAGAAGGTGAAGGGATTAGCCAAAGAACACATATGCTTAAGCCACAGACTCAGACGGCAGTGTGGGGATGGCCAGAGGGAAGCAGGGGCAGAGGCTGGGTGGAGGTGGGCACAGGTGGGGGGGATGGGGACATCTGTAACTGTCAACAATATCAAACTAAAATAAAATGAAATGAAAAAATAAATCACAGTACAGAAAATGACAACTTCCTATTGCCAGCCAAATTGCTGTTATTACATGAACCTATAAAACTTGTGATCTGTGCTGTATGTATATACGTTTCTTTTCTGAGAGTGAGAAGTAAAGAGGGCAGTAAGAAGACAGGAAATTTCACAGTAAAAAAGCTCCTCCCAAAAAGAAGTAGGGTGCCTACCGTAAGGTCAATATTCCAGGAGAGACTTCCTGGCCGGGATCACTGAATGGAACTTGTTAGTGGGAGGTCACACTGGTGAACGTCAGCAGGAGTTCCCATCTACAGCCCATGGTCAGGACTGGTGGCTGTCCCGATAAACAGAACTATCTCCCCCAGGCGAGCCTTGGATTAGGTGAAGATTTGAGATGGCTGCAGGAGACTGTGAACTGGTGAGAAGAGTTAAACTCACCACTCACTGCCCTCAGTATCAAAAACCCACCAACTAGATGAACTGTCTCAGGTTGACCAAGTTCATAGTTGTAGATCACACTAAAACTACTTTAGAGTGTTCTTAGAAGAAGTTAAGATATAAATACATATTTTCAAAAATCATCAAAAACTTAATGTATGCTCCAACATCTACCCTAGGCAACATTATCCACTAAAAATAAAAAAATTTAAATACATTTTTGTAATAATATTTACAAAAGGACACATGGACAATAACGAGAGGGGGTGGAAATGGGAGGGAGGTGGGGAAGATTGGGATGGGGGAAAAGGCAGAAAACTGTACTTGAACAACAATTAAAATAAAAAAAAGAAAACTCTAAACTGGCATTGCACAATGAAATAAAATGTGAGCTACAAAAAATACATTATTTACATAATACAGGATGGGTAAAAGTAGGTTTACAGTTGAGAATGAAACAGTTTATTCTTATATTATTATTTAGCAATTACTGTTTTATTGATTTGTAGTATAACTGTAAACCTACCTTTGCCCACTCCAGTATATTCCAATCCAGGGATGTTCAGAATTTAGAATCAGTACATGACAGAGATTGAGAATACAGACTAGAGCCAGGTGTTGGCTCTGAATTCCAGATCTTTTACTGGCTAGCTGTGTGACCTTGGGTCATTTGCTCAGCCTCTCTGGGTCTCAGTTTCTTCACCCTCCAAACAGAAATAATCATAACTTCTGCTCAACAGCACTTACTTCATGGGAAGTGATCCATAAATTCGCTTCATATTTTTACTTAAAAACTTGTAGAAGATACTCTGTATACAGAGTTAAGGGAAAGAGAAATTTTATCAAGCTAGTTATGACATAAGGATAAGACATATATAGAGAACCAAGACCCTGGGAGGAATTCTAATATCGTTAAATGTTTGAAGCTTATCAGAATCCTTGACTATCTACAGCTCAGGAGCAATATAAGCAACCTCATAAGAGCTAGCACGGTGCTCTAAACACAAAGTTATGAATCACTTTTTATTTTCAAAAAAGTACACAAAATGACTTGCTAAGTAAAACTAATCTCCTTAACATAAATCAAACAGGTGGGCATTTCTGTATTACTAATTTTACCACCTGCTGATATGAATTAATTTGGAAGGTGATCTTTACTCTCACTGCATTGTTTAGTATGTGCTATGTGAAGCATCTCCTAGCAAACAACACTTCTCATTTCTTTTGACGGGGCATGTGGATGTACAAATGGCTTTAGACTATTGTTATTAATAACAAATATTCCAACACTTCATGAGTATTTACTATGAGGTAAGGAACTGTGCTAGGTGTTACGGGATCGACAACATATTATAGTAACAGTGGTAATGAGAGATATATGAGGGGAGACCTCCCCAAAACTAGAAATATCTTCTGGAGGGTGGGCCCCGTGTAGTACAGGCTTCTCCACTTAGGTAAGTGTTCTAGGAACTCATCTGTGTCAGTGCACCACCTGGTGTTGTTGTGAGAGGCTGAGTTCAGCTTCTGTGAATATTTTTTGAAGACTCTTCCAACCCATTTGCTCATTTCATGATGAGTGATTTACGAGCACACCTGCCCACACCATGCTGAGTGTTCAGCAGTTTCTGACCAAAATGGCATGACCTCCATACCCCATCCTCCCAATTCACCTGATCTCACCCCGAGCAACTTTTGTTTCTCTGAATGATAAAAAAGTCCTCAAAGGGAATCGTTTTGCCAATGCGGAAGAGGTGAAACAAAAACAGCAGAAGCACTAAAAGCACTTCAAAATCGATGAGTTCAAAAATTGTTTTGAGCAGTAGAATTATTCAAAAATACCTTAACAGGTGTACTGCATCAAATGGAGAGTACTTTGAAGGTGACTGAAATTTAAATATGTAAGAATAAATATACAAGTTTTATATTATATATTTATAAATAAATTTATAATATTTACAGATAAATAAATTCCAGGTTTCTGGGGTCCCCCCCTCATATTATCACCCAAAACCCTTTCCATAAAGGACTGGGCCTACATGCCACAGAATGATGTTTGGAGATGCTCGTGGAGCACTGGGTAAGACATGGCTGTGCAAGGGCTCTTCCCTATGAGTCCACAGAAGCCGGGAGCAGATGAGCCGCTCCGAAAGAACCACCAAAAGAACCACCAGGGAGGGAGCGGTCTTGCTGCTCCCCTTATACAGAGCCTGGTGTGCACACAGATAATCAGTGGAAAGTAAATACATGTGAGGAGGACACAACTGGGCAATGGCAACAGCACTTAATTTCTTTGTAGAAGTCAGAACACTCCTCAACAATGCTCTTTCAACATGAATGGAAACGGATCTGTAATGGAATGCTCAGCCTAGGATAAGCAGACAAAGCTTCTGGCTTCCAGGAGCTCCTGGTGCAGCGAGAGCGACGGGCATATGGCACATACCGTGGAGGTGCAGTAACGAACACTGGCACAGCATTATTCAGCTGCTAACTCAACAATACAAGCCTGCACCCTGCAAGCACAAGCAACGCAATGGTGGCCACAAAAGGGTCTAGTGTCTATTCATGGACATATGGATTAAGGCACAAGATAGACGTTAAAATAATAATCACACTAGTGACTCAATTTTAAACAGACAAATCATGTAAAGGAACATAATTACATAAGAGAATAACGTGAAGAGCAATCTGGCCTAGACAGCTGGATGACTGATACAAAAGGAAAGGGTGAACAAAGAGAGTAATGGGAAGATGTCGGGGACAGATTATGGCTTGTATAACGGTATGGGTGATGGAGTCGTTGCTTCTTTAAAAGAGGCCAAGCATGAAGGTCTAAGTACATATGTTGAGAAGTCAATTGAATCTATGGTTCTGGAACTCAGAAAGCAGGTTGGAGATGGAGACCTAAAACTGGCAGGCATATCACAGGTACTTCAAACCACAGGCTTACATGAGATGGCCCAGGGGGAACATATGGAGGGAGGAGAATGACTTAGGACAGGTCTTAAGGAGCTTCACTGATTACAGGGTGTATAAGAGGAAAGCAGCTAAGGGGCAGCCTGCGTCGGGAGAAATATTATGTAAATCTAGCAGTGTTAATGAACATTCATACTTTCTGTTTATACTTACAGTATATTCCACAGTACCATGGGGCTTCTGAACCACCATCTTCTTCTCTTTTTTATCATGTGTTTTGTTTTGATTGTCATCTGAAAAATAAAAATGTATGTAAATGAATAATTTAATTTTAGCAATTGAGGATAGAGTAATGTACAGTATATTAAAACCCACTTTCAAATGGACTGAAAAAAAGACACCAAAATAAAATGGACTATGAGCATACATAGGCCCTGATTTAAAAAAAAACATATTATTCACCAAAGAACACTTGAATAAATGATTGTTAACTGTAATAAAATAGTGCAAATAACAATGAGGTAATGTTGTATTGTTAAAGTAAAAGTTTAAATGATAATATTTAATGATGAAGTTGAGTAAAACTACTATAGTCATGATATAAATGATGTTAGTACATCCCTTTTAGAAAATGATTTCTTAACATAACAATAACCATAAAAACGTCCACTCTTTGACATTCCTTCCTTAGGAATTCATCCTAAGGAAAAATTCAAGAGGAAAGTTATGTCACAGTATGTGGTTACTGATGTTTTTATAGATCAAAACTGGTCAACTTAATAGTTTTGGCAGCTGCATATGATTCAGCCTAAATGTTATGATTAAGTTCATCTTAATATAATCATCCCAGATGTTGAAAACCTGAGAGACATATCACCATGGATAAAAATTTAAGTGAAAAAAATATAAAATTGAATTAACTACGAGAAGATGCTCTAACTTGTATGTAATCAGAAAAATGAAAATTAAGGTGAGATATTCTTTAATACGAGAAGATGCTCTAACTTGTATGTAATCAGAAAAATGAAAATTAAGGTGAGATATTCTTTTACACCTATTAGCATGGCAAAAATCAGAAAGCTGGATAATTCTAGTGTCTACAGAGATGTGAATTACCAGTAGGGATATAAACTGGTACAGCCATTTCAACAAATCAAGTATAGATAGCTTGTATGAGTCAACATCCTAACTCAGATATACATCCTTTCCCAAAAGGTAAACGCTTTACGTATATCATAAAGTCACCTGCTTGAGGGTGCCCAAACCATCATCACCTGTGGCATGAGAGCTGAAGGGTAAGACAACTTGGTAGATGTGCTCTAGAACTAGACAGTAATTAGAAATAACAAGCCGGAAGTATACCCTGCAATATGTTTACACCAAGAGAAACAGAACAGGATGTACATAACAGTATCATTATGCATATGCAAAGAAGATGCACACAAAACAACTATACACATTTTTCAAGGCCACATCAAAATAAAAGTCTATGCACACTGAACACAGAATGGTGTGAAGTAGAGAGAGAAATGGGATTGGGGGTAAGGATAAAAGGGAATTAGTGAATAGATAACAAGGAGCCCAGCTCAGACCAGGGGTGGCATTCCACAAACTGAGAAGGGTGACTAACTCAGCCCCCTGCAACCGAGGTCCCACACATCCCACGCCAATCACCTACATGACAAATAGGGGTGCACTGGATGAGAACTGGAAAGTAATACAAACACATGAAAACAGTTAATTCACATGAGATTTGTCTGCCTCGTAAATGTTTTCTCCATGTTATTTAAAATGAAAAACCAAGAAAGAAGTAATAGATGCTGCTATTAGAGTCCTTTACTACTCATTTGTATGTTCAATGAGATCCATTTATAGAACCAAAGAGACTGCAAAAATCCCTCGACGTGGTAAAAAATGACCAGCCTACACTCATGTGGTTTATTTCAGAAAGATGAGACTACAGACTGTGATTTTTAGATCTTCGGATCTAAAATGGGGTCATTAGACCCCATTCTGTAGGTCGGGAGGGTATACACAGCCCGTTCAAAACCCCAGATCAGAAGGATCGAAATGATGAAATGATGACTCATTGTAATCCCTCCGCTGCACTCTCCACGTCCCTCGCTCCTTTCTTACTCCCTCCCTGTCACCGTTGCCTCTGGTCCTCTTGCTTTCAGAGGGATGCTTTCACATGCATTTGTAGGTGCTTCCTATTTCTAGCTTTCTCTTCCCACCTGTGGCGGCTTCTCCCCTATGCCCTTTTATAGGTTGTGCATAATTATCTCTGGTCCCAGTGGGAGCACTACCTTAAGCCACCAACATACGAGAGTTTCCATACTGCTCAGCTGCAGAAGAAAAATAAGTTTTAGCCAAACCTCCCAAAATAAACTTGAGCTAAGTACATCTGAAGTAGTACAAAAATTATTTTACTTCGGCACAGGTGGGTAGGCCAGAAAAATGTCCAAGTTGGTAATACTAAAAGAAAACATAAAATCCTTCCTCCCAGCATCTTAAGATTTTGAAATTCTTGAGGTGAGGACCATGAGGTACCTTTAAATCTCTGGTGCCTTAATAAGATACCCAGCACACATGCCTGAATAAACTTCCCAATATAAATCAATGAGCCCAACAAGTCCAATCGTGAGCAACATTTTCACTGACAGACTATCACACCAGGAAAATCATATGAATCAAAGGCACAAACAGAATACTATGTTTTACAGCTGACTTAATATAGAAAGCAGAGAAGTAATTGGCACATCTAAGGACCAATTTAATTGTCTTCATATCATTAAAGCAAAAGGTAAGGTTTCATATTGCTTCCTAAATATTTTTAAAAGATTTTATTTATTTATTTTTAGGAAGAGGAGAAAGGAGGAAGAAGGAGAAGGAAAGAAACTTCGATGTGCAAGAGAAACATTAGTTGGTTGCCCCTTGCATGCACCCAACCAGGGACCTGGGCCACAACTCAGGCATGTGACCTGACTGGGAATCCAACCAGCAACCTTTTGGTTTGCAGAACAATGCCCAAGCCACTGAACCACATCGTCATGGATCCTAAACATTTTTTGCAGTAAATTTTAAAGAGAGCTAACAATATGTCTCAATAAGTAAAGTCCTTACCTAGCCAGATTCTGCAGTCCACAGTCCACGCACTGGAGAGAGCTGGGGAGACCCAAGCTACCTCAGGAAAGGGCTCCTCTGCTGAACTTCCGGATGGAGATCTTGTGTTTCAGATAAGGACACATGATCACACCCCCAAAAGGAACCAGAAGAGCCATGACCATTCCCCAGAATGGAACTAGAAGACCCATGCATGAACACCCCCAGGATGGAACTACAGGACCCATGATCACTCCCAGGATGGAGTTAAAGGACCCATGACCATCCCCCAGGATGGAACTACAGGACCCATGACTACTCCCAGGATGTAACTATTGCCCAGTGACACATGTTGACACCTCTACTTCCAGTTTTAGGCCTCCTCAGGCCCTTTACACCTACTCAAAGTCCAACCCCCACCCACTGCTTACAGGATGCTGAAGCAAACAAGTAAAAGTATGTGCTGCCGGTGGGGAAAGCTGGCCGGTTCCTCAGAAGTCATTCACAGCAAAGCAACTGAACTCTCTACTTGCCCCACCTCTAAAACGCCTTCAGTGCCAGTTTTTCTCAATCCAGTAAGTAAGCACGTCTTAGAAAATTGACAAATACCTTGGAGGAAGGAAATACAGGCCCTTTAGCCTAGCCTGTTTCAATTCTCATAAATTCTGGAGGTGCAGGCTAAAATGGGGAGCAGGGGCCTTTGCTGACCTCAACCCTGGAGGATCTGGTGCCCTGCCCCAAGTCCTGCCTCCTCCCTTTCCATCCCAGAAGAGGGCCAAGAACACAAGGTTCTTAGCTCCTGCACCTGAGTCCTAGGTACAAGTTTCCTGAAATAAGACTTCTTTCTGTGCACTGGAGCTAAAAGAACCTGATGTTCAGGTATATTCTGGGGGTCTGGAGAGGTGAGAAGGCGAGATGTGAAGGAATCCTTTGCAGTGGTTGTCTGAGAAGTTTTGAATGAAGTTACAACTGTCAAAGAAAGACACTTTAAGAGAAGATCTGAGGTTTGAGAACCAAACCAAAGGAAGGCTTAGATGTGGGGAGTAAAGAGAAGTGTGGCTGATGAGGGTGGGGGTGGAATTAAAAGTATAGGAGAATGAGTGTAATGTCACAGACACACTGGAAAAAAGTTAAAGATCATTTTGACACTCAAATGCAGCAAAGAGGATGAGAGGTGGAAACATGGAAATGGAAAATTAGGAGGTCATAGAGGTTTCCTGAGGTCAAAAGTGTAGGGATGGTGTTAATCCTATCAGTACAGTGAGGATATGGTCATTTGCTAAAATGTAATGGGGTAAAGACAGGATTGGGGGTGCATGAGGGGTTGTGTAATTTGGAAGAGTTACTAGGGCAAAGATAAGGTTTCAATGAGAATATTGAGAGAAGTCGCAATAAGGGTTCACCCAGGGGTTGGGTATCAACATCAGGGTGACAGACCATGTAAGGAATAAGCAAACACCCTGCTGCCGTGGCCAACTGTGTGGTTTATGACATGCTAGCTGGGCAGCTGTAGCTACAGCAGTGGTGAGGGAGCGGCACTGAGATGCTGGAGTTAGCGTAGCATGATGCATTAGTTTCCTATTGCTAGTGTAACAACTTAGCACAAATTTAGTGAGCTCAAAATGAAAAATAAACACAAATTTATTGTCTTAGTTCTGTAGGTTCCACATCTGGCATGGGTCTAGAGAAAGATCGCTTTCCTTTTCCAACTCCTAGAAGTAGGCTACTTTCCTTGGCTTGACATCCCTCCCTTTATCTGCAAAGCCAGCAACACCAAGCCAAGTCCTCTTGCACAGCCATTTCTCCATTGCCCTTTCCTGCCACCCTCTTTCATTTTTCAGAACCCTGTGTTTCGCCCTGGCCTGTGTGGATTTGTTGGTTGGGCATTGTCTAGCAAACTGAATAGCTGCCAGTTCAATTTCCAGTCACCTGCCTGGTTGTAGGTTTGGTCCCAGTTGGGGCATGTTCAGGAGAAAACCGATCGATGTTTCTCTCTCACAATGATGTTTCTCACCTTCTCTTCCTCCCTCCCTTCTCCTTTCAGCAAAAGGAAAAAAATAACCCTGTGTTTACATTGAGCACACCTGGGTAATCCAGGATGCTCTCGATTCCATCTATAACCATTTGCCTTTGCTGGGTAACATAAGGGGTTTTAGAAATCAGGGCATGTACATTTTTTTTTGGAAGGGTG